GACTGATCTGCCTCGCCCGGGAAGAGCGCAATGATGGTGCCAACTTGGGCCAGTGAAGCAACGTCCTCCACAACTAGACCGAAGAACAAAAGGATAGCTACTTGTCTGTTCCCCTTCCCCCAAGTCCCCAGCGCTGTTCCCATCCCCCAATTCCCCAATAAAAATCTTAAAAAAAAAAAAAGCGTATACATTTTTTTGGCACCCTCTTTATAAGGAAACCCAACGGGCAGCCATCAATCATAAAATTCTTTTATGTCACCAAGTAAAGAGATAATTTCATTTTCATTATGTCCCTTACTGATAACTGGTACCATAAACCAGTCCTTCTTGGTCCAAGATTTTATGTTTTCATAACTCTTAGAAATACATCTTCCTAGGAGTTATTGAAAGGTCTGTGTCAGCATGGCCACTTATGAGAATTTATATTGCAAAATGTTTTTAGAAAGTAGCGATCAAATCTCATGTTTCCAATATACATTAGCATGAGTAAATAGTATGATACAATTTTAATATAACTGTTTGTTTCATATACACCATTGCTTTAATGCTGCTGTAGTCTTCCATTTCAAAATAACAACAATTATAATACTACTTCCAAGTATATGGCATTAATTCAAAGGCTTGGGTTTACCATCAAAGAAGCATATTAATACCCTGTCTTGCATAAATCCATCATATGTTAGTAAATATAAGTATTTCCAATGTTAGAACTCCATTGACTACAATAATATTACAGGTTCTAAAACCACCATCATATCTTTTCCCACTTTAAGTTTGGATATGTTATTAGTAAAGATTATTATATCTGTAATCTTCATTTTGAAGATGGTTTACAATTTTAATCCAAATTGTCATTCCAAGAACAATAATAACATTGGAAACTTAAGGTATGGGCTACCAATTCTTTTTTAGTTGTATACAGTAAATGCATTTCTACTCTCAATTGGTGAATGGAAGAAAAAATTCCTTAACAAATAAGCATATATGTTTAAATGTGTACTTTTGATAATCCTTTATATTAAACCAGTAAAAACAAATATTTTTCTGCTAAAGTTTATAATATATACATGCATACTCAATTTCAAATAAAAAAAAAACTAAAAGAATATAATTAAATGTGCTATAGATATTTATAATTAAGGGGGAATTTTTCATAATTTGGTATAACTGATTATAGATAAATTAGACTCAGAAATTCTAGACTTAACTCTGAGTTAAGTATATTAAAATTCTGATTTGTGGGCAACTGTATATTTTTATCAAATTATATTCTGTCCATGTTCTTATGTCCCAAACCTATTGGTCCTTTAACCCAAAGCTACTTGCTCACATTTTATTAATATAGTATCCATAACTTCACTAGCATAATGTTCGTTATATTTATTAGATAAAAAAGTTTTTTTACTGTAATGGTAACATTTATTTTTATGAACCTGTACCCTTTCCCATGATTTTCAAAAATTAAATTATATTTTAGTGTATTAATAGATATTGTAAGTCAAATAGTTCCATATTGCCTGTTTTAAAACCAATTCAAGCCTTATAAAATGACAGTATAATACTATCAAAAACACCTTCAGTTCACCTCATTTCCCAGCAACCATCTAAATGACATGTGAGTTTTTACATCCCAATGTCCAGCTTAGACTTAATGCAAGCACTGCAGGGGATGGAATGAGCCGTGTTTGCTGGTATTTTCTAATTTTGCTCCCTAATACACATGGGCTTAACTCAGAGTGTTACATCAGGTTACAATCTAGGCTTATTAACTGCCCGAATGTATTACAAAAAGTGTATTAACTAGAATTAAGGGATTACTTACCCAGCTGGGTCTCCTGAATTGTCAGTTTACTGTCCACAGGATACAAAAGCTTGGGTGGCTTATCGGTCAGAGGGGCTGAAAAACAATAATAATAATACAGACTATAGTTATGCTGCAGGAACTGAAGGAGAGAACACAGTTTATTTTCCCAAATATTTTTCATTCTCAGAGGAGGGCGTGAAAGCATTGTACCAAGCAATGACTTACATATTGCAGGCAGTACCTTCAGGTGAGGTGAAGAGAAATTAGACTGTACATGAGTCGAACAGAACACTTCTGAATTGACAATCACGTGCGACTGTTTAATTTCAGAATCAGGACCGGTCAGTCCGTAAGAACCTATGAATGCTTTACCAAATCTTTACAATTTGCATCTTGTTTTCCTTTTGAAAGGGTACCTTCCATTTGCTCTGTTACTTAAAGCTACACATGATATATGGATCATGCATTTCAATGATTTGGGGGCATAATGTTGTCTCATTCTTCTTAATCCCATTCCTAGTTTCCTAACCCTGGATCCCATTCCCTCAAAACCCCTAATTTAGTAATTAGATTCGTTCTTTCTTTCTCTCTTCCTTTCTCTTTCTTTCTTTCTTTCTCTCTCTCTTTCTTTCTTTCTTTCTTTCTTTCTTTCTTTCTTTCTTTCTTTCTTTCTTTCTTTCTTTTTAAATTGATTTCAGGTGTACAAAACAATGTAATAGTTATACATTTCACCCCTCACAAAGTAATAAGCCCCCTCCCCCAATCCATTGCCCCTCTGACACCGTATATATCTATTTCTTAGACACATACTCTATACATGGGGAGGCAATGTGGTAATAATTCGTACCAGTATAAGCTGCACACTCAAACATGCATATAAGTATTCACCAAGATCATATTTTATTTTATTATTTTTTTAAATCAGGGGAGAGTGTGAATACAGTCCCCTACTACCACAAATTATGCAGTTGTGTTTCCCACATTTGGGGAAATCGCAGGGGCCAGCACATCTGGAGTGCAATGGATAAGCCTCGCCCTGGGAAAACCACCTTCGCGATCACGGTATCTCCCCTGCCAGGTAAGTATCAAGATCATATTTTAAATGATACTTTCCTTTAGTCAAAAAGCTCTTATTACTATTTGCTATTACATTGTATAGCATTTATTTCTAATTTGCATGATATATTCACTTTGATTTTTAAGTTTCCATGTATTTCTACTCTGTGCTCTCATCAATTTTACAGATCTAACAGTTTACTATTAAGTATCTTGAAGACAGGTTTTCCACTGCGTACTTCATTCCTAGCTAAACTAGACTATCCGGACTTGAGACAAATAGCCAGTTCTCCTTCTTTAAGCCTCTCTCCCCACCCTCTCTGATCGAATTTCCCAGGTCCCTTGAAATCTGTCATTGCAACGTCCACTCTGTAGCAAGTACAAAAATGATCAATTAAGGGTTGCTGGACTGAATGTTTCTGCTCTGAGGGCTTTCTTCCTTCCTTGCCAGGACGACATGCCAGTTTGGTTGATAACTGGAAGGCTAATCTAGTCAGCAGTGCCAGGGGTTGGCGACATTTCCTCACCACCAGAGGATTCCAGAATTCAGTCATCCTCAGCGGCTCACCCCCATCTCTCTTTAACAGAAAACAGCCAGTGCAAACAGATGAGGCAGCTCATCTCAGAAAAAGAGAGATGAGCTTTAAGGGTCCTGGTTTGGGAGACCAGCCACACATCAGATCCATTGCTTTTGTTTATAACTAATTGAATGCATTATTCATTCATCTCCCTTAATATTTAACACAGGGATAGGAATGAAAGGGAAAGGAAAGTTGGGGTAATAGGATATCAATTGTTTTGAATTTCTTCTCAAAGTTTTGACATCACTCTGATGAAGCTTAAATACTCGTTTCTTGTCTACAGTGATCTTAACAGATATGTATTCTCCTACCAGTTAAATAAGTAAGTTATTCACTAAATGTTTGCAAAATAGTTCACCATTAATAGATCAAAAAGCCACATTTGTTAGGCTGAGGTTATCACATGATTTCAGTGAACTTCAAAAGCAACTATGGTATCAAAATAACACGCATACTCAGTAAATGACCTCAGTTTATAAACTCTTATGGTCATGCAGTTACAAGTAGACAACTCTACAGTTTGTTAAAGAAAGCAGCTGAGAGAAATGTTCCTGTTCAAACACATCTGATACTAATAATTTATCGTAAGAGAAAAGATCTGTTGAGAAAGACAATAAAATCCATGTGCAGCACATTCATTCAGAATTATAAAATGGTTGCGTGGTTCTCCACCTGAACCCACCACCCATGCCCATGGCATAACGATACATCCTTAAGACCTTTCATATTATTCTTAATGCGACAACTCCTAGTGAGCAGGGGAATTGTAGAATGTTGGAACCAGAGAAAATCATATGCTTATGACATTTTTTGACTTTTTAAAATGTGTTCCCTAAAGCCCTGTGATTTCCACAGTGCCCCTCCGGGCAGGTGAAGTTAGGACAGAGATAAGGGGTGGACCATGGGGCTTGACTCATGCCTTCTTGTGTCCACGCCTTTCTGACGAAAGTAGCTCTGCTTTTATTTATGTTATACATCAGCATTTCACCCCAAATTTTAACTAAAAAAAAATCAATTCATCTATTGATAGACTATTGGATAAAGAGGAGGTGACACATTTATACGATTGAATAGTACTCAGCAATCTAAAGAATGATAAACTGCCATTTGTGACAATACGGATGGACCCAGAGGGTGTGTGCTAAGTGAAATAAGTCAGACAGAGAAAGATAAATATCACAATGATTTCACTTATATGTGGAAATTTTTAGGAAATCAAAACAAATGAACAAACAAAACAAAAACAGGATCATAGAAACAAAGAACAAACTGATAATTCCCAGAGGGTAGGACAGTGAAGGGATGGGCGAAAAAGGGGAAGGGGGATATAGTTAATAATAGTGTGATAACTTTGCACAGTGACAGATGGTTACTAGACTTACTGTGTTGAGAACACTGTAAGATATATAAGTGTTGACCCGTTATGTTGTACACCTGAAACTAATATAATATTGTATGCCAACGATACTCTAATAAAAAAAATCAATTCAACTGATGTACACTATAATGTGCTAGGAATTGTGAGGGGGGGTTTGGAATATCTCTGGTTTCTGCCCTTATATCTTACAGTAATAAAAAATTAACAATATTACAAATAAACAATTCTGGGCCTAGTCAACTCCCTTGTTTTACAGCTCAAGATTTTGAGGTGCAAACAGAACAGGTTTGCCAAAGGTAATAGAGTACATTCAAGGTGGAGGCCTTGCTAGATCTTTGCCTCCCAATTTTTTGTTACCTGCTCCTTGAAAATTCTGTTGAGCAACTACTCTAGCTCTTTGCACTGTTTTCCCTCAAGGCGTGAACAATCTGTTAGGAGAGCAAAAAACATGCCACTAAATACACATAACCTATAGTAGAGTGTTCTTTCTGTGCCATCTGTCATCTCTGTGTCATGTTTTGAAATTATGCGGTGATGGATATCAAGTAGGCATGTTTCTCGTGTGATTAACCTGTCTTTCATAAAAGTGAGCACTGTACACCTGAATCTGAAGCTGAACAATATTGAATGTCAACTATAATTAAATATATATATATATAGTCATGGGGTGTGGAGTACAGCATAGGGAATAGAGTCCATGGAAGTGTAAGAGCTATATACGATGTCAGAGGGGTAGTAGATTGGGGGAGGGGGGTTATCACTTTATAAGGGGCGAAATGTCTATTACATTGTTTTGTACACCTGAAACTAATAATAAAAAAAGTGAATGCAAACTACCAGATAGCACAACAGCTGAACTACAGGTTTGACACACTGGCAAAATGAGTATGAAAAGGGGTGATCATTAGAGCTAACATGCAGCTCAGCTCCATAGTTGTTTGAGGGTGACAAATTTTGCAGCTGGAAAGAAAGGGCATGTGCTGAATTACCAATTATTTGAATGTTTCTGACACTTTATGGTGCTTAATAAATATTAGTTGAATCCAATTTATAAAAGACAGAACTGGCAAACAAATACAGGAATGGTAATGACCACACACACAAACGCAGAGCCCTCTTTATTTTCTGCATGGACAAAGGTGGAACTAGAAGGAAATTCTAACAAATTACTTAAAATAAAAAACAAAGTTATTTGCATCTGCCTATGACTAGACCAAATGACATTTTATTATCAAGAAAACAACTTGCTTTTTGCCTCTCTCTCTCTCTCTCTCTCTCTCTCTCTCTCACGCACACACACACACACACACACGTATACAAAGACATACATGCACACTCACTGACTGAATTGAAATAATTGAAAAACTTAAGAAAGTCCGATCATAGTGATATGAATCACAGGTTGATTTTAAATCCTAATCATGTTTTGTCTACCAAGAATAAATTCTGTAACAATTATAATAGAGATGTTTCCCTTGCTAATTTTGCATAAAAATGTTTCTGTATATCCACCAACAAAAGCATTTTCAAACTCTCATTTTGTTCTTCAGAGCATCCTATTGATAACATTAAAGCTGCTAGTTATTTAAAATAAAAAACAGATTTCTCTTCCAGAGTTATTAATATTTCCCAATTGACAAACTGTTCTGTACAATAGAAGAGGAAATTTAGGGACATGCATTTTGCTTGCCAGTTGCAGTGAGAGAAACATCTGGAAGTCCGTATACATGAAGTTGTGTACAGGACTGATTCTTTATTTACGTTAACGTTCTCCAACTATTGATGAAAGTATGCAGTCTCTCCTTTCCCCCCCATTTCATGTACACTTGGGTTATGAAACAGTGAAAAACAGGATCCCATCTTCCAAAAACAAGAATGACAACAGACCAGGGTAATGAGGTCAGTGTTCTTAAGTTCTTCTGGTGTTTTCTTTAAAAAAAAAAATTTATTGGGGAACAGCCATGGTCATTGGTTACACATTGCCTTCATGCTACAATAGCATAGTTGACTCTTTTAAGGAAGGTGCAGCTCACAGTGGCCCATGCGGGGATCGAACTGGCAACCTTGGTGTTATTAGC